TAGGAAAAGGAAAAGCTTCGTTTCGGACCTGAGGAGCGGAGAAACGGTCAAAGCTTCACCGTGGAGACCGGGTTTTATATTTCTTTTATGAATTTTAGTTCTTTTCATCTCTTTCTTTAGTAATCTTGAATATGTTAGGCTAGTTCTATTTTAGTAGTTAGGATGAGAAAGAACCAATGAGTTCTTAATTGATGTTTACTTTTCTTATGATTCACATTCTAGATTTTAAATTATGCAATCAATCTGTTTCTTATTTATTAGCTTTATTTATGACTTGATCACTCATAGATAAACATATGAGTTGTACATGACAATAGGGATGTTGATGTATGATTTTGATTGTTTGATTGCTGTAATTTGTATCATCTAGGGATAGACTTATGAATTCTATAACCATAGGTTATTGCGTTAATACTTATTTTATGAAAAAGTACTAAGGGATTAGGCTTTTGATTAGAATAAATGATTGGATTACCAAGGGATTGGGGTTTTATCAATCATAGAAAGACCTGTTAATAATTTGATCTTGAATATAATCGTAAGAATAGAGAAACTCGTTAAGAAACCATTGGGGAAGTTAAATCCTAGCTACGTCTTTTTATAAAAACTTAAAATCAAGAGGAAAGGGCGCTGCACAACAATAGAAGAGGGCTCCACACCAAGAGAAAAGGGTTGAGCAACAGGATAGTCTCATGGTTATGATGTAGAGGCAGATGGAAAAAATGGAAAAACTTATACGAAGGCTTCCTGAGGCAATATTAGATGCTGAGGATGACGACGAGACTCAGCTCCCCCTGTGTCCCCCCGTCTCAAAACCTAGGTGATGACCGAGATGACCATGATTATGTAGGTCATTCACCAACATGCTTTTGTATCTTGTTTGGATGTATATGACATGGACTATTATACATAAACTTTTTTCAATAGTATATAACAACAACTTTTGTACACATAATTATATTAAGATCAATATGATTTTGATATGTTATTTACTTTCATTATATTTGTTTATCAGGTGCAAAACATAAATCGGTATTAATTTTGTAGACCAAAATAAAAAAAATTCGACAAAAAAGCAATTTCATCAAAAAATGATGCAATAGTTTTTGACAGAATTTCATTCATTTTCTATAAAAAAAAAATGATTGCAAAATTTTTCGACGGAATTTCATTCATTTTCTGTCGAAAATTTTCGACGGAATTTGTTTTTCGTCTAAAATTATTACAAGATTTTTTGACGGAATTTCATTCATTTTCCGTCGAAAATTTTCAACGGAATTTATTTTCTGTCGAAAATTATTACAAGATTTTTCAACGGAATTTCATTCATTTTTCGTCGGAAATTTTCGACAGAATTTGTTTTTCGTCAAAAAACTATTACCAGATTTTTCGACAGAATTTCATTCATTTTTTACGGAAATAATGTCCGTCGACAATTTTCGACGGAATCGTTAATTTCGTCGAAAAAATCATTACCAACGAAGATATACACCACGGCTACATTTTCGTCGATAATTTCGTCAATAATTTTATTTTTGACGGAATTTTAATCATTTCCGTCGAAAAAAAGGTTTTTTTAGTAGTGGCTAACCCTAGCTGATTCTTCATTTATTTTCCTCATTTACTCCTATGAACAACTGCAATCATCCTTCTTGCACACTCTGCAAATTATGGAATAAGGGGACCATATTTGAATATCACATAAGTATTTGCTTCGTATTTAGATTTCTAAAATTATATTTGGATAAAAAGTTATAAGAAACAATTTTTTTAAGACCATTGACTTGAGCCTATCTAAATAAAAACTTAAACACACTATTATATGGTAAAAAAAAAACTTGAGATAAATATTCAAAATCTTCACCTTAAGGTGGTGTTTGGTTGAGGGGTTTTTCAAATTACCCCATGCAAATGAAGTTGGCAATCTGCTTTGCACTTGTTTGGTAGATAGAGATTTGGCTGATTCCCCAGGCAACCATGATGCATAACATTTTCAATTTTGTGAAAGAATGCTAGACTTTGGCACTGTTTAGAAAGCATTGTTGGAGGTGGTTTTTGCTTTGATAGCCGGCTAAACCACATGGCCCCACAACATCATGAAGGATTGGGCAAATGATATCAGACCATAATACCCTCATCATCATACATGCACATCGTCGGAGCCAAACACCGCCTTGCTCCGATCTTCCTCCACCACCCTCGATCCCAAAAAGCGACTGTGAGAGTGATAGAAGAAATACCCAGAACCCTTTTTTTCCTTAGCAGTAAAGACACAGTGTTGCCTTCACGTTCTTATTTGAATCAGTGGGTGTTCCATTCGTGCTCATTTCCTTCCATCATTCCTTGCCTCCTTATAATCTGTTTTTCCTTTTTTCTGCTTTTCCCCTTTTCTCTTTTCTCTTTTGTCCTTTTTTTTTTTGAAATTAAGGGGCAACAATTTAGTTAAAAATGTTGTTAGGTTGGCAGAGTAACGAGGGAAAAGAAGGTCTTTCCTTCCCTCAGCCATGGCTCCAGCTGGGAAGCTTTCTGGGTTTCGTCGAGAATGGAAATGAATGTTATTTTAAAAAAGGATATCTTCGTAATTGACACTTATTTCCCCATCTGTATTTTACCTCAAACCAAACATAAACTTTATAAATTTTACCTAATTTGCCCGGTAATTTTTTTTTCCAACCAAATAACTTTTTTTACATTTTTCTACCAAACTCATTTTCTAACCATTTCCCTATTAATTACATTTCTCCAGTATTCAAAAAATTTCTCCTCAACCAAACACCCCCTAACTATTTTTTTTTTTCAATTCAAACTCGAATTCACTAATTATTAATAATATATTTAGATTATATTTTCATATTAAGTTAAGTTTAATCGAATAATTATATTTTCTTCCACTTAATTATATCATGATTTGATTCATATATAAATAAAATTCAATCTTGATTTTATTAGATTTGTTATTTATAAATAAAACTCAATTTACACACTCCCAAATGAAATTAAGGGTGTGCCGTCTATAGACAAGCCATGAGTGATGCACCGTATCCAAGGCTCCACGATGAAATGTTCGTTGTTCTATTTTGTATTAACCTACGAATAGCAAAGACCTGAGGCAAAAAAATGCTATATTATGAATATGCGCGTCACTCACCACGCACAAAACTAAAATTCTTGTATGAAATGAAGTATTTAGTGAGGAGCTTAAAAGATGAAATATCTTAATATAATAGTGCAAGATGGAGTAATATGAACCAAAGTTATGCGGGAGTGATATCGTGAATATTTTAGGCGTAGGTTGAGAGAGGAGATGGTGAAAGGGCATGCTGGCCCTAGATTTAATTCAGTAAAAATATAGGACGTACTATGCCATTACAATGGTTGAAGAGGATATAAGTGAGAAAATATTTTCCAATAATGAGAAAGAGCTATAACCGGTTTGTTCAACGTGAGACAACATGTATCCATATACATATGATATGAGGTGAGTTGTGCAGAGAAATCACATATAATAAGAGTTTAAAAATCTCCATTTGGAAAGTCGACAAGGGAATAACATTTTAAATAGGCCGCCGGTCATAGAATGAGATTGATTAGGTCAGTCCAAAATATTAAGTAAATATATTTTAACAGACTCTAAAAAAAATATTTTAACAGAAATATGAAAAAATAATAATTTCTCTTTTAAAGAAAAAAACTGAGGAAAGTCAAATATTAAGCATGGCTAAACACAAATATGCTGCTACTCTTAAACAATTTTATTGACTGAATATTGATTGTCCCAGATAGCACGTTTCTAATTTTTAAATCCCATGAATTATTAAGAACGGATGTAAAAAACTAACAGACTGCTAAAAAAAGTTTGACGATCAACTAATCACATATACATCTTTAAATAATCAGACGACTCAGTTAACTAACTAAACTACGATAAATTAAGAAGTATTCATCATTTAATAGGCAGATAATGATTGAATTTATATAATTTTATTTTTAAGCAGGTTCCATAGTTCTCGAGGTCATTGTAATAATATTACACAATTTGAATTAATTTTATTAGCAAACCTACCACCTAGCCAAGAGAGAGATATAGAGCTAGAGTTAAGCGTGAAGAGGGGTAAGGTGACAGAAAACCATGTGCTGTACGTCTTTGACGAAGTTAGAAGCATTCATGGAGGCCATTTTTTCACCTTGTTACGTTTCTATTTTTCAACAGAAGGCACTGTTTTGCCAATGGTAAGTACAGTGGATGAGCTAATGTATAATAATTGAATGAAAAATAAAGGTAAAGAAAACTCGATTTCTATCCACATGACACATCCAGAAGCTCAAAATTAGTAAAAACATTTTTTTTTTTTGGTTCCATTTCAGGTGCTGAAAAAATTCCAAATTCTAACTTGTGGTGTGGTGTGCTCCTCAAGCTAAAGCCACGAGGACTTTATAGCATGCATTGCAATAATTCCCTTAATCGGCCGAAGAAAGAAAGAACGGTGATTCAAAACAAGCGAAGGGAACGTGGCAAATCCATAGTGGTCCAAAACGCTGAAAAGTTTTTGTTCTATTGTATATCGACAAAAGTTCTTTGACTTTGTGTTTCTTTCGAAATTGGTTTTTGATTTTCTGAGTACACATTAAAAAATTAAATTAATACAAATCATTTAATTTTTAATCAGTGTTGTTACCAACACCAGTTAAAAAATCCTTATGTCGCTGTCGGTTTCTACAGAGTTCGTATTCAAACGAATCACAAAACGACAGAAATTATCAAATAATAATAATTTGTACGAGAGCTAAGCAGATAGACTGAGTACATATATTTGATATTCTCCATAATTATTTTTGAGAAAAATTTAATTTTAATCCTAAACTTATCTTGAGAAGATGATTAGAAGATATGTATAGTTTATAAAAAAACAAAAAACAAAACGACAGACATTGGAGTAAACACTCGTCCAACAGTGTGCTGTATTCCGATTGCAAATTGAGTCATTTGCCTCAACAAGTGGAGGATACGAACTTGGACACGGAAAGTTTCATTCACCCGAGACACCCTCCCTCTCTCTCTCTCTCTCTCTCTCTCTCTCTCTCTCTCTCTACGACCCTTTTATTGTACTAATTTCCACAACCCAGCCCAAAAAACAAGTCTTGCATCACCTTTACACAAACCTTCTCACTCCTACTAATTAATCGAAGTTAACACGTACTAATTTTAATTGCCCCGCGACTTTCCCATTTATCACCTCATTTTCTGATAAAATAAAGTTACAACTTTGGAAAACAAGAGAAGGAGATTGAGCAGCTTCTACCTTTTCTTTCTCACTGGCGCCGTCACCTTAGGACACTCGTTCCCACGAAATCTTTGGGTCTAGATGTTTTTCTGAAAAATTAAAGTGTCATTTTTTTCATTATTTAACGACGGATCACAAAGTTCACTTGCTGGCAAGGGTTTTTCCGGCAGTTGTTTAAGGTACTGTCCTATTGGGTTTAATCATTTGAGTTCTTTGGTTAACGTGAATTTTGGTCAGAGACCCCATCATCAGAGATGGTAGGTGGTGGGTAAATGAGAAAAAGGAGGTAAAAATAAAAATAAAAAAGTTGCAGGTTGACCGGTAGATATAGAGAGGGAAGAGTGTGAGAAGCTGAGAAGAAGATTAGAGTAGAAACCCTAGGAAACCCCCAAAAAGAAAAAGAGCAAAGATTAAAACTTTATCCCCAGAAAGTTGCTTTGGAAGTGTGAGGGTAAATGCCCTAAGGTTTCCCCTCTCTTATTTGATAGAAATTATAGAGGAGTTTAAGGTTCCCATGCCGGTTGATTTGGACAATGTTTCCACAGCTTCAGGGGAAGCTAGCGTGTCTTCCTCTGGCAATCAGACAGTACCTCCAAAATCCGCTACAAAGAAAAAACGAAACCTTCCAGGAATGCCAGGTATCAAGAAATTCATCAACCATATTCATCTTGTGGTTTCTTAAAGATTTTCATTTTTATTTTTTATTTTGTTTTTTTGGGGGTTTATTCAGATCCAGATGCAGAGGTGATTGCTCTGTCTCCGAAGACCCTTATGGCCACGAACCGATTCGTGTGTGAAATTTGCAACAAAGGGTTTCAGAGGGATCAGAATCTTCAGCTTCATCGACGGGGTCACAATCTGCCATGGAAGCTTAGGCAGAGGTCAAGCAAGGAGGTGAGGAAAAGGGTGTACGTTTGTCCCGAGCCAACCTGTGTTCATCATGATCCTTCAAGAGCTTTAGGTGATCTCACCGGGATAAAGAAGCATTTCTGCAGAAAACACGGCGAGAAGAAGTGGAAATGTGACAAGTGCTCCAAGAAATATGCTGTTCAATCTGATTGGAAAGCTCACTCTAAGATTTGCGGTACCAGAGAGTATAAATGCGATTGTGGGACTCTGTTTTCAAGGTTTTTATTTACAGGCTTTATTCCCCTTTATGAAGCTAACATCGTTTCTATAGCAATTGTTGGAGATTTGGGGTTTGTTAAAGTTTTTGTTTTGGTTGTGTTTTTTATTTTTATTTTTCTTGAAGGAGGGATAGCTTCATCACGCATAGGGCTTTTTGTGATGCGTTAGCAGAGGAAAGTGCAAGATCTCAGACTCAGACTCCTCCAAAGGCTAGTTCAGAGTCAGATTCGAAAGTTGTAACCTGTGATTCATCTCCTCCGGCTGCTCCGCCACCACCGTCGCTACTACCTCCCCATCCTGCCCCGCCAGTTGCTACTTCTCAGTCAAACAGTGTCGTACCATCTGCTTTGCAGACGCAAAATCAAGGTAGATAATACCCGAATCTGGAAAACGTTGAAATCTTTTTGGTTGTTTCTTTTGTCGCGTGTGATATGGTTAAAACTAGACACAACAAAACCTTTGTTGTTTTTGTTGGTGTTGTTTCTCTATCTGTAATCTTGGAGTTTAGTAGTTTTTGTCTGGTATCGTTCTTTGTTTTCATCTGTGTTATGTATTATTCATAACATCACAGTAAGCGATATGAGATTCGGAAAGCTAATTAAGTCACCAAAAATAAACCTCTTAAAAGGTGTTCTTCGGAACTGTGGGATCTAAACTATGCAATTGCGGACAAAGAAACTAAAAAAGATTAAAAAGCTAAAAAGAGAAAGAAAAAGCTTTGTTTTTTTGAGGGGAAGTGGATTTGAGAAAGGAAACTATTATTTGTTCTTTTCTTCTGAACTTTTAACATTAAAGAAAAGGCGCAAACTTTGCATGTCTATGCATCTTAAGTGGCTGCTTTTGCTCTCCACTCCTTCTCCCTAATTATCAATAATAATACATCATTCTTATTTTTATTATTATTAATATCACTACTGCTTTTTCCCTTGTAATCTTTCAGAGTTGCCAGAAAATTCCCCAAAAATCATAGAGGAACCGCAGGCCAATACTGCTATGAATGGGAGCTGTAGCAGCAGCACCAGCTCAACAAGCAATAGCAATGGTGGTACTAGCAGCAGTGTATTTGCAAGCTTGTTTGCTTCATCAACCCCATCAGGAAGCCTCCAATCTCAAACACCAGCATTCACTGACCTAATTAGGGCCATGGGACATCCAGATCGTCCAGCAGATCTCACAGGGCCAGGGCTTTCATCTTCGGAGCCCATTTCTCTGTGCCTCGCCACTAATCAAGGGTCATCCATTTTTGGAACAGGAGGACAGGAGCGCCGTCAGTATGCTCCACCACCACAGCCGGCCATGTCTGCCACTGCATTGCTGCAGAAAGCTGCTCAAATGGGTGCAGCTGCAACAAATGCTTCATTGCTTCGCGGGTTAGGCATAGTGTCATCTGCTGCTTCATCCTCACCAGGTCAGCAAGATAGTTTGCAATGGGGTCAGCGGCCAGTAGAACCAGAGGGTGCCTCAGTTCCTGCAGGGCTTGGACTTGGGCTTCCCTGTGATGGCGGCTCCGGACTAAAGGAGTTAATGATGGGGACTCCCTCCATCTTTGGTCCAAAGCAGACCACCCTTGATTTTCTCGGGTTGGGGATGGCTGCTGGGGGCTCCCCTGGTGGAGGCTTATCTGCACTCATCACCTCTATCGGTGGCGGTCTGGATGTCACTGCTGCAGCGGCATCCTTTGGTGCAGGAGAGTTCTCTGGCAAAGATATTGGGAGGAACACTTGATATTTTGGGTGCAAGAACTACATTTTTGAGGGCCAGAAGTTCTGGTTGTACATATTAATATGGTCATTTTACAATGTGAAGTTGCAATGCACTGGGGAGGGGTGGATTAGTATTAAGATATAGTATGTTCCTATTGAACAGTGCAACAGCAGGCAATGCGCAAATGGGTGGTTTTGGATTAGATGATGCCTGCTTTCCTTCCTTCCCAGAGTAATTGCACGAGTTACAATATTACGCTTACTATGGACCACTGGATTTGGTAAATTAAGGTGTTTTGTGTATGGGTGTCATAGGTTATAGCGACAATGGCGCATTTGAAGACTACACCTAGATCTTTTCGCTTCTTGGGCATCTGCAGTTTTGATCTAGTTGTGAAATGTGAATTCTGCTCCTTGCATGATTTGGTTGGTCCATAGCTGTAGGCCTGTAGACATAAATCAGGAAACTTTTATGTTGTTTTCTTCTACTGTTGATTTATTGTCACAGGCGATATTTCGAAGTAAATGGTTGACTGAATATTTATCACGATTATGTATTTGTCATTACGTTGTAAAGAATTGTACTCCTTTGAAGTCAATTTTTTAAATGACGCCTCATCTGGGCCAAGGGTTTAGCACCTTTGCAAGGATTTTCGAGTCCTTGGGTGCGCTTGCAACTATATTCTGTAAGGCTGTAATGGTGTATAATTCCTTGCAATCCAAAATGAAGAAATTAAATAAAGAATTTGCGGATGAATAATAACGCTGTCCCTTTCGGTCCCTAAAGCAGCCTAGATACTTGATATTTATATCATTTCAGAATGAAGAAACCTAATGATAATCATGTCATTTAGCCACAATCGGTGTGCAATGGCCTTTAAATTTTTCTAGAGTTCATTGACACGGACGGCACGCACCGAGGTCGGTCGGCCTGTTGTGGCTTTTCAAGAAATTGTCGTTTTCTTTTTCGTTCCGATTTTGTACTAATAAAAATGAGTCTTTTTTGTCCAATTCATTAGTATTCTGTATTTTTATTTATTTATAAATCAATGTATTTTCTATATCTTATTCGTGGCGAATTCAAGATTAAAACTTTAAATTTCTCTCAAAAATAATATTAGGGAGGATTGAACATGCTGTCATCCCCACCTGTTCAGTTCCAATGCACTGATCATCAATTCTTTTTTTCCGATGTTCTTTACTTCTTCATTTGTTTCTTGAAAAATGTTTCTCATTTTGTCTCATATAACATATAATAAAATAAGTTGAATTCTTTAAGAAAAAGAGAAAGAAAAAAAAATTTATTTTTTTTGTGTGTGCATGAGAAATTATCTCATGCAACATAAATGATGTATTCCCCTTATTTCTTTTATATTTTTATGGAGATCCATTTTGGGCGCAAATATATTTGTTGCTTTGAAACAGGGATAGGGCAGTCAGAAACTGCGGGCCTGAATTGTTATTTGAAATTTAAAACTCACCTTCAAAGTTTAAGGGCCGATGCGAATCAAGTTCATCTTCATTGAATGTAACATTCACTTGCAAGTAGACAATAGAACAAAGCCCAAAGCGAGATAAGTTGCAGCTAGAGGAATTAGCATCAATTTTGCAGCAACTGAGTTTTTCACAAACCCAAATAGCTAGCTGTCCTGTTACTGATGTTGACATTTATCAAGGCAACAAGTCTCAAATATCAATAATGTATTTGTTTGTTGTAACTAACAGCAAAATTGGTTCAGTTGTTTATCAAAATAAATAAATAAAATTACATTTAGTACCCTCTTAGATGCACCTTTCGGCTATTTGATCATTTGGGTGTTATTATGTTTTATTTCTGTGGGGGACGTTTAGTTCTGCTGACCCCCCCCCCCCCCCCCCCCCCCCCCACATATATTTTTTTCAATTTTGTTAATGAGTTAGGCAGATTCATCTAGAGAATTCACATACTGTGTGCACGCCAAAGCTTTTAAGTTTTAACCCTTAAAATAATTTTTTTTCTGATATAAATAAGTACTTTATTACCGGAGGAAACAAGGCTTGTCAAAAAATAGCCATTAACGATCGTTACTATAAGGTGCTGCTTAATAGGGTTGGCAAAACGGGTCAACCCGGCTCGACCCGGCCCAACCCGCATTTAACTCCAAAAAACGGGTTGGATTAGGGTTGGCTCGAAAAAATAACGAGCCAGAAAATCCAACCCAGCCCGACCCGAGCCGGATTAGGGTTGGCTCGATAATCAGCTCGCGGGTTGGCTCGGAAAAAAGTCGCGAGTTGGCTCAAAAAAGCTCGCGGGTTAGCTCGAAATGATGCCAGTGGGTTGGCTCGCGGGTTGGTTAGCTCGAAATATTGTCAGTGGGTTAGCTCGCGGGTTGCCTCAAAAAATTGATTTTTGTGTACACAATTTCAAAATCAACATCAACCAGAGAGCACTCATAACTATATAAATCCAAATTATGCTATGAATCTAAACATGAGTTCAGAGACAAAACCGAATATCTTTTAAATAAAATAACCCAGATAAATAGCTTAGAAGTTAGGACCAATATTTGGTGTTATTTCCCCCTTCCCCCTGCGAATCTAGGACCAATGTTTGGTGTTTTGTGAATGTTATCTCCTATTTGCAGTATCTGACTTACTTCTTGATATAAAGTTAGGAAATAAGCATTCATTTAATATACTTTAAACTTGATTTATATAGTTTGATGAAGTATATAATCTTAAAAACCTGTGATTTTATCGAATTAAAAGAGACAAGACTAAAAGTAGGTCTCTATTTCATTAGTGAAAACCACTTCAAGTTAAAAATTTGAGATGGTCCGTATTTTAATTACTTGCGCAAAACATTTTTCTCCGTTAAAATACATTATACTTTCAGATCCCCTCTATTGTCAGGGAAGATAAATAAACATTGAACATAAATCAGGATAAATTTTGATTTCAAGGTGCAAGGCTGTCATTTTAGAAGAAATTACATACAATTAGTAGAAAGAGAAAGAAGACGAGCGAAGAAAAGAAAGAACATGGTAAGGAAAGGTCGTTTACCTGCTGGCACTCTGAGTCTCTGGCAGCGAAGATGAGCGAAGGAAAAAAAGAGGGATGGGAACGATGAAAGAAAAGAAAGTGACGACTGATGAAAGAATGTAAGAAGTGAGAACGATGGCGTCGATGGGTACGACTAGGGAAATTTTTGATATTACTATTTTTAATAAAAATAAATCCCAACCCGCGAGCTGGCTCGTCTTTGTTCGGGTTGGCTCGTTTTTGCCACCCTACTGCTTGATACAATGTAAAATAATCATGAGGTGTATTAAAAAAAAATTAACCAAGAGTTTGTATCTATCCATGTCATTTGCATTTATGACCATAATTCACATAGGTTTGAAATTGAAGAGGCTTTCAATTATTTTATATAAACAGGTGATCATGTTATTTCGGTCGATTTGAGCATACCTGATTGTCAATGTGTGAGGTTAACTGTATTCGACTATTCGTGCTCTCATGTCATTGCTACATGATTATTATAGGAATAAATACATAGATTCGGTTAGACGTGAATATTATAAGAAGGGTAAGGGCTTTGGATGACTGAGATTGCACCACGTGATGCGATCTTTGAGTTCCCCGAAGAGGATCCACAAAACTCATTAAAAAAATATATAAAAAGAGTTTCACGTAATCAAATGAACCAATCGAAAAATAACTTTGGGATGTATCAAATGAGCAAAAATATCATAGAGACACCTATGAATGATCAAACATCCTGCACCTTTCTCATACAACTCCTAAGAAAAATTGGTGTTGCTAGCCACTAACATGTTTATTGAGTTTTTTCATTTTTTGCGTAAAGAGTATCAAGTTTGAAGATCGGTCCTCCCATCTTAAAATTCACATAACTTAATTTTATTGTGAGAGAAATATTCCACAATTGAAAATAAATGCTCTCTCTTTTTCGTGTTTGTTTCTGATCAGACCAAATACAATATGGGCTGGCCAATATGTATCGAGCCTAATCACACACGGTTGAGATGTGAATTGTTGTTCTTGGTCTTGGGCCTTGAATCTGAGTTGGATCTTACTATGTCTTTGTCCTTTGTTGTAGCGCGATGAATCCGAATGGGGGGTACCTGCGAAGACACTCCGATGCTTAAGTCAGTATCAGAGGCATGAGTTTGTATGTTATTAATGTAAAGAATGATCGTACCTTGGTGTTGTACCCTTTGCTTATATAGAGGTTATGATGCCGCCTTAGCAAGGCGGCTTGGCCTCTGAATGGCCAGGCTTGGGCTGCAGGTCAGTGCTAGGACCTGAGTAGCCTTATCTTCTCTGATGTCTAGTTATAGAGTCACGAAAAGCTGGAGCTGTCTTCCGTTTAGTGGTATAAAGGCGCAGTGGGATTACCTTGGGTCTTAAGTTAGCTTCCTTAAGGGCGGTTTTATCCGCGATATGGGCATCGCGTCTTGTCTTGCGCGATGAGGGCATCGCGTCTTGTGCGCTATGTTTGTCCGTCGCGTTTTGCTTTAGATCCTTAATGGGTTTGGGCTTCTTCGTATGTCATTGGGCTTCTAATGGCCCTATATTTTATCCGGATCAGTTTCCATCAAATTTATCGTTTGGTGAGAGAAAATTAGAGGAAAAGGAAAGAGTGGAAGCATCCAAAAATCTGGTAGAATATTACAAGGCAAAAACAACAACTGAAGGAAGAAGATGTGAACCGAGAATAGTTAGGCTCTTTCACCAAATAAAGATTTTTATTCCCTTTATTTTTCTATTTGATATTTGTTTTCCAATATTTATTAATGAGGGTCGTTAAATACCGTGAAAGGAGTCCAACTGATTTGAGTTTGATACCCCCACCCTTGCATGTAGAACACATCTTTTTTCTTTCTTTCTTTTTTTAAGTGAGTTTCGCCTCCCTACATCCGCGGAACACATCTTTTCTTTTTCTTGGTCTATTGAGTTTCGTGGGTGTAATGGGGCATAACTCACTTGACAAAAAAAAAAAAAAATTATGTGTGTTTCGTGAGAGTGGGGTTGTGGGACTTAAACCCGCTGGGTCCTTCTTGCATTACTAAACGACTCCATTGGTAAATTATGGAAAATAAATAGGGGTGTTTATCAACCGATCCAAACCACGGTGACCGAATCGATAATCGAATAAACCAAAAATAAAATATAAAAAAAAAATCGTAATTTTAATTGGATTGGATTGATTTTCGGTTTGGTTGGTAAAAATTGACCCAATATATTAATTTATCTTTACCTACTTAGGCCTTTCCCTGATCATAGCCCAACAATTTTTAAACCCAAGACCTATTAACCCATCAACTAAACCCAAGAAAAAACCTAACCACATCTCATAAGCAAAATTTTATCTATGTAGAGCTTCATATCCATTGCCCAAAATTAATAAATTAGATTATTGTTTACTGATGCTTCTGTATTTAAAAAAAAACTTTATAAATCCAATACATATAAAATATATGTTATTTGCACAATAATCATCAAACAAATTGGATTGGATTTGAAAAAAAATCTAAACCGAAAGAATTGAATTTGATGATTTTTATTTTCAAAATCGATCTTATCCAGACTACAAATACCTTTAAAAACAAATATAAAATAGGAAAATAAAGGGAATAAAATGCCTTATTTGCTTTTTACTGAAGAGCGAGCCAGACGGAGGAATTTGATAAGATATCCTGGTCGGACTATTGTTAAGATTGAACATCGTAGGATAACCGAATATGATAGCTAACTCAGGCTCTACTGGTCAATCGCCCAATCCCCATTAGCCACTAATATTGTCATTAGCCAACGACTATATTAATATTGGAAATCAATTTGGAACTTAATTTTTTAAAATTTATTTTATGAGAATATAAAATTTTATTTTGGAAAAATTTATAATTTTTTTATCTTAATATTATTTTTAATTATGTTTTTTTAATTTTTTTAATAAAATTAAAATCAATTTAAGATTTATATAAAAATTCTATTATAAAGAATATTTTATCAATTTATATCACATTATAATATTATCTAATTTTCCTTGAACACATTAATAAAATAACCTATTTAATTAATGCGCACATCAAAATTCAATATTTAATTATAATATTATCGTATTCATAATTTTTAGTTCCGTGATTCTCTTATCTTATTTTCTTACCTTATTCATTATTAATTGCATTCATAACCAGTCTAACAAACTAGCTATGTTGGAATTAAATTAAGGAAAAACTTTTTGAAATTTAAAATGACACAAAGAGAGATAAATACAAAATAAATTTTTTATATTCAAAATTTAAATAAAAAAATTCTATCATTTTTTTTTATAATTTTTATTTCTTATGGTTATCACTCTACGATGACATAATTTACATTATTTGAAGATGACAAACAAAAATCCCTTAAATTAAATCTTCAAACAATATCACTGCGCTTTTTAATTGTTTGTGGAGGTAAGCGCAAGTCGTAGACCCACTGCGGGAGATTCAAAAGCTCCGAAAATTTTCAACGTAGAATGCTCGCGTTCATAACTGGTACGAATGATTTTAATTCTTCCAACTTCCCCCTCACAACTGTCATGCAATTTTGTTTTTCTCCATCAATATGGTTTCTTCATCTCATTAGTGACATACCCTTTTCTTCATCTCTTTTCTTTCAATCTTAATCTATTTATGACCTCCTCTCTACATCTGGGGTGTCTTTTTCTATGAAGTTGGAAACTTTGAATAATAATTGTTAAAATTCCAATGTTTCAGAGTCTGGGTGCAGTTCAATTCCCTTGAGGCAAGGGTTGGTGGCGGAAAGGAATGAGCTTTTTTAATTTGAATCACGCATCTAAGATTTCGCAATCTTCTTCGAGGGAGAAACTGAATTAAGGGTATTTTGCTTAAGGGATTAAGATGCTATCTGGCATTCTCTCAAGGCTGAATGCTACCGTTTACCATCGCTTTCGGGAAGCAATAACACAGCAACAAGGAGTACCAACATCGTTGTACAGGAATAATCTATCTCTGTGTCTTTCTTCAATGTATTCAACTTCCTTTTTGCCCGGTTCCACTCATTGCTTTTCAAGCCACAGACTTATTAGAAAATCAATGGCTACTTCACCTTTTAATGCTGTGTTGGGAGATGTTTATGTTGATGACTTTATCTCAAGTTGTGGCAGTGTGCTAGGCTTCACAAAACCTTCTGGTGTGTACTTCAAAGATAGAACTCATAAAGGTTGCCTGGGAGCTAGTGTGAATCTAAGAAGACCACAACCTTTGTATGGTCCTCTGAGTTTTGGATGTTCCTCTTTTCATGGACCATGGCTGAAGAATTTCTCTACCCCTTCTTCTGCTTGTTGTTCAGCTGGGGCTGCGCATGATGTCTCATTTGATGGCTGCACTCCTGATAAGCAGCTTGCAAATTCCTCCGTTTCGCATGACCAGTATGTGATTGTTATTATTTATTTTTTGAAATTCTGCTTCTGCATGAATTGTTTATAAATTATATAATTTAGATACCAATTCCAAAACAATTTTAAGCTTATCCTATTTATACTGTTTGAAAGAGAAGCTGATGATTCTGCAGTAAGCTCCAGAAACGGAGTCTTGCTATTTCCATTTTACACACTAAATTATATCATGTGAGAGTCAAATTTTGCTTTGTCACCAATTAATTGAATAGCTAGGTAGCGGAAGAATATATTAATAAACATTATTTTATATTTCTTGCGGCCGAGACTTACTTATCCTGAGTATTTTCAGATCTACTGTTGGTGGCAAGACCTTGAAGATGTTCTCAGGATCATGTTACCTGCCGCATCCAGATAAAGAGGAGACAGGAGGAGAGGATGCTCATTTTATTTGCACAGAAGAACAAGCAATTGGTGTTGCAGATGGTGTAGGTGGCTGGGCAGATGTCGGTGTAAATGCAGGACTATTTGCCCAAGAACTTATATCCCATTCAGTGAATGCAATTCAAGAGGAGCCTAAAGGTTCTTTCAATCCAGCAAGGGTGTTAGAGAAGGCTCACTCAAGTACAAAAGCCAAGGGTTCATCAACAGCTTGTATCATTGCCCTTACTGATAAGGTATTATATTTTTTTATTCTGAACTTTGACAAGAAAAATAGGTTTGTCCATTTGTGGGTGATCTAAATCTTCATAGCACTTTTCGTGTCTACTGAATATTAGATGGTTTGTTTTCTTCTCATATGTATCAACAGAAAAGTTTTCTACAATTTCACTTACCTACATCTGGAATAGTGAAAACCATGATCATGAATTCATGAATCACAATATAAATTTTTGGTTGACTTAATCAATATTACTTTAGATGCTGCATCAGCCCAACACTTTTGTGTTTCAAAATGCATGCTATTTGAAATAAAATTGTGTGCAGTAAAAATTGGAAATTAAGATTTCAGTTATGATATTGATGATGTTTACATGTGGCATGCCTCCCACCAAACTCTTTTTAAGTCAAAAGTTAAGTTGCTTAGACTTAGGAATGGAATTAAAGCACTTTGGGAATTCTAGCAGCTTCTTTTTCTTCATGCTTTGGTGATGCTCTGCTCTACAATACTGACATACACATGAACTTGTGTGCAGATACATATTCTTAAATGTTGTCTAAACTGTTCCTATGCTCTTAAGTATGATGTCTGTGATTGGTGTTTTTGCTGCATCTTGATTGACTGAGGCCCCCTCATTTGCAGCCAATAAAATTATTGTTACTAGTAAACTTGGTAGTTTACTTTCTTGAGCTAGTATAAAAGCAAATGTATTATCAACTGATTAATTTTCATTCTTTGTGTTTGGTTTCTTGGTACAGGGACTACATGCTGTTAATTTGGGTGACAGTGGATTCATTGTGGTTAGAGATGGATCCACCATTTTCAGGTCCCCTGTTCAACAGCATGAATTCAATTTCACATATCAATTAGAGTGTGGCACTGGAGGTGATCTACCCAGCTCTGGTGAGGTAAACACACATTAGCATTGCAAATAAGATTTACTTTTAGTGGGCTTGGTTTTTACCTTCTGTAGGGACGGCATTACATTAATAATATGTTTAACTCAAAATTAAGTTCCTAATTTGTCGAGACAATAACAATCAAGCCTTTTTTCTTATAGCATCCTTTCCACTGGATGCAATGCAATCCGTAGTAGATAGGTGAAAATTGTTTCTTATTATCCCTATTTTGTACAAGATTTCATGGGGAGACTTAGGGCATGCTGGTAGGAAAGGTGGAAAATATGGAGGGGAGTGAAAATAGAGAGGTTTTCATTTTCGCTCGTTGGTACTTGGTAGAGAGTGTGAAAAATAAAAAAAAAGGAGGATATCATTTTCAACCTTCCCTCATTTTTCCTACCAATCAATTACAATATGATTTGCATTTTTAATAGCTTTCATTCCACATTCACCTGTACGAAGCAAACTTATTCCCTAGGAAGCCTAATGTAAGATGAAGTTCGTGATCTTTTCTTTAAAACAAGTCTATCAATTTTGTGCCGTTGTAGGAAGTTAAACAAACTAAGCATATCTTTTGCAATAATGTATCCAGGTTTTCACAATAGCTGTTGCCTCAGGAGATGTTGTCGTTGCTGGAACAGATGGCTTATTTGACAACTTGTACAATAATGAGATCATTGCAGTTGTTGTACAAGCAGTTAGAGCTCGACTAGAACCCCAAGTAACTGCTCAGAAGATAGCAGCACTGGCTCGTCAACGAGCACTGGACAAGAATAGGCAGACACCATTTTCTACTGCTGCTCAGGATGCTGGATTCCGTTATCATGGTGGCAAACTTGATGACATAACAGTTGTTGTGTCATTCATAACCAGCTCAATTAGTGAGTGAATTTTTCGCCATTTTCACTTTGACTCATTTTTTATATTCATATTTGTTCTACAATGGTTGTGCAGCTAGGCCTGCATATTCTTTTTTGACCTGAATGTACTCAACTGTTCTAATACTGCTCTCAAACTTGATGACTATTTTTTTCTTTACAAAAAAGGGTCATTGCGTCTTTTATTTCCTTCTCTCTGCACTATACATCCCCCTTCCCCGCCAAAAAAGAAAAAACCAAATGCCCAGTTTTATTTGGTTACATGTAAATGTAATCTTGAATGTTAAAGACAGTGACGATCACGGTTAGTTATCCCCTCACACCTAATCTTCTAAATTCAAATTCAATAACGTTATTTAGAATTTTGACGATGTTAGTACCCAAAAGGGAAGGGAAAAAAATAAAAGAATTAAGAATATGTTCCTTGTTACTAAGTAACGATCTGATGCAGAATTAGTGTTTGATACGGTAAGAATTTGATAAAAGATAACGTAGCTGCTTGTATTTCTGTTGTCCGTGGGTTTTTGTATGCCAATTAATCAAAGCCATTTGTCCAACAAAATGTGCCACTTTTGGTTTGGTTTACGAAGTATCCCAGGTCATCATAAAATATGTCACTTCAAATCAATAGGCAAAGTTTTCGGTTGAAGTTTAATTGTTTTACTGTTCGATTGAATAGGATTATATATAGAGAGGGGAGTGAGTGGAACTTGTAAGATAAGAAGGAGAGAGAAAAGGGGGAAGAAAATTATTGCTTAGTAGTCGAGTACCTCCCACTCAGTGATCCAAGTTTTCATACTAAAACAATAAAAAGCGACAAGAAAAGCGTTGAATTTTTGGATCTGCAATCCATATTATTTCAGTAGCACATCGTGTAGCAAAAACTTGTCTATACAAGCTTCGTGAAACATAGACTTTCAACTTTGTGACACACAAATAGAAAATATAGAAACAGATACACGACATAACAAAGATTTAAATAGATACACTACAGTACCTAACCCTCTTAAGACAAAATCAAAGATTCCGAATCTTCAAAACTCTCCTTCCTTCAAAGCTGATCCCGTTGCTTTGCCCTTTTACTTCTCTGTGCATGGATTTACTATCAGTCTCTCGCTCTTGTTCCCCTTTTTCTTGTGATCTCCTTCCTCCTTCTCTCTCCCTCACAACTTGTTCTTCTTCTGTTTCCCGTTCTTCCTCCTCTTCTCTCCTCCTTTCTCTCTTTTTTTGTTGTCTTTCAGCTTGTTCTTGCTCCCTCTGTGCTGCTGCTTCTTCCTCTCCTCTTCTGCTCTCTTGCTGTCTTCTAGGTTGTTCTTCTTTCCTCTCTTCTTCCTCTTCTATTCTCCTTTCTTCCTCCTCTTCTCGCCTCCTTTCCCTCTTTTCCTGTTCTCTTTTAGCAGCTTCTTCTTCCTCCGTCTGTGTTTCTTCTTTTTCTCTTCTTCTTCTCTTTTCTTTCTGTCTTTTAGGTCGTTCTTGCTGACTCTCTGCTTCCTCTTCTTCTCGCCTCCTTTCTCTCTTCTCCTGTTGTCTTTCAGCTTGTTCTTGCTCCTCCTGCGTTTCTTGTTCTTGTTTTCGACCTTCCTCTTCTCGCCTCCTTTCTCTCTTTTCCTGTTCTCTTTTAGCTTGTTTTTCTTCTTCTTGTGTTTTAGCTTGTTCTTCCTCCCCCTCTGCTTCTTCTTCTCTTCTCCTCTCTTGCTTTCTTCTAGCTTCTTCTTCCTTCCCCTCTTCTTCTTCTTCCCTAGCTTCCTCCTCTTCTCTCCTCTTTTCTCTCTTTTCTTGTTCTCTTTTAGCTTGTTCTTTTTCTTCTTGTCTTTTAGTTTGTTCTTCCTTCCTCTGAGCTACTTCTTCTTCTCTTCTTCTCCTCTCTTGCTCTCTCCTAGCTCGTTCTTTCTCCTTTTCTCGCCTCCTTTCTCTTTCCTCTTGTTGTCTTCTAGCTGCTTCTTCCTCCCTCTTAGCTTCTTCTCTTTCCTTTTCTTTTTCTTCTTGTTTTCTACCTTCTTCCTCCCTCTCCTCTTCCTCTTCCTCTTCCCTTTCTCTCTCTCTCCTAGCTTCCTCCTCACGCTTCTTTTCCCTCTTTTCCTGTTGTCTTCTAGCTTCTTCTTTCTCCCTCTCTACCTCTTCTTCTCTTCTCCTTTCTCTCTCTCTTCTAACTTCTTCTTCCTTCCTCTGTGCCTCTTTCTCTCTCCTAGCTTCCTCTTCTTCTCGCCTCCTTTCCCTTTCTTCTTGTTCTCTCCTAGCTTCCTCTTCCTCTCTTTTTCTGGCTTTCTCCGCCTCCTTTTCTTCTCTTCTCCTTTCTTCTTCTCTCCTAGCTTCCTCTTCCTTTCTCTTCTTCTCTTCCTCCCTTTTTCTTTCTTCCTCTTCTTCTCTCTTTTTAGCTTCCTCCTCCTCTCTTCTTCTCTTCTCTTCCTCCTCCTTTTGCTTCTCTATTTCTTCCTCCACTATCTTTTCCTCTTCCTCTGCACAGGAAGTACATCCGAAAATGATGGAATCATCCTGAGAAGCCAAAAGCTCTTCAATGGTTGTGATGCCGACACCGAGAGAGGTAGCCAGTATCTGTTTGTCCAGAATTTCAAGCATCGATCCCTTTCCCGCTAAAAATTGAGGATCATTATTCTTTGCTGCAGTGCTGAAGCCCATAAAAACAAGTGAATCATTGTTGAATGACATCTGAGCCATTGGATGAAACCTAGGCACCACAAAAACATCTCCCTCCTTAACTTTAAAACTCTTGTTTTGGCATTCTGTGTTGTTATCAATGCTACTTCCACACACTATTCGCACCATGCCTTGCCCCTGTAATACCACTGCTATCTCTGTTGCTCTTGGGTTCAAATGTGGCCCCAACATTGATCCCTTGAATTATGGTACAGAAAATAAATTTAATATAACTTTCATAAACATATACAATAAATAAATAAGTTATAACCAAGAATGAAGTATAATCACTTAACCCTGGTCAAGTTCACCATCAGAAATCCAATGTTGTTACCCTTTAATGATTTTAGTTTCTTTTTAGTCACTGCTAAACTCAAACCATGACGATTTTTAAAGTCAGGGTCATGATCAAAGATGTTATATGTTTTGACTTTCTTCGAGTTGGACGGAATGCCTAAAAAGTTTTGAAGAAATGAAGCCTCCAATTCCCATAGAGTATTCCGCTTCTCTGTAACAGCATGCACTATTGGTGGAGTGCTGGTCTTGTTTGTGATTGCTTCGACCAAGTCTTCCGGCACCTTAAAAAATCAGATAGTTTTGTATGAAGTAAATATTCATATTTGTGTCAAAGCATAAATTTTAAATCCCCATATCGTGCAACAATAGACTTGTACGATTGCTACAAAAATAAAAAATATGCCATTGTGCTTTTGCCATCTACTGTTATGAACCAAAAGTAATACCTTGAGTGCTGCTTGCATGATTTTCTTATCAAAGCCTTTGACCAGTTCATTGATCCTTGAGTAAGCACCGATCAATGGATCCTGCATTTGCGGTCAACAATTAACAACAGCAAACGAGTCTTAAAAAACTTCCAATTCATTCTTGTTGTATAAGTTCAGTGAAAAAATACATGGGCAACTCTTACGTAAGTGTTATCGTCTGCCTTGGCAAACATTGCATAAATCCTAAGTTTCTTTCTCTCTGCCTCCAAGTTGCTCTTTATATGGAAAACAGATCCTTCACTGAGGCTGCAGAGATCTCCTCGTCGTAAAGGGATCGTGCTAGTGCCATGTTCATTTTCCCATGTCAGCTTTCCACTCCCTGAAACCCCCGTGAGTGGAATGTGTTGAAGCTAATTTGTTTATAACATAACATTATAACACTAGTATCTAATAGAAATATCTCAGTTATTATTGTTATAAGGAAAATAATAATTGCTTTTAAGTCAATAATTAGAGGAACATTGTAATTAAAAAGTGAATTATCTTCTAATTAGAATTCAGAAAAATAAAGGGTGTACCTGTATGAACATAAAAGACCATATCTGCATGGAGAAGCACGGGAAGAAACAGAGAGTTTGGTTCCAATGTGAAGAACTGAAGATGGTAGGGTGGTGCTCCTTGTTTTTCCTTGACATCAATGGCAGAGATCTGTCCGTATTCAGTGACAGTTAATGTCCTCCTCTGATCCTTCTCCACCACAGGTCCCTCGTGAGCCTTGACATGATCATGCTCCTCATCACTTGATGCCTTTCCCCCATACAAAGAAATGGTAAGGAAGAAGATCAAGGCCCACGAAAATGTCGAAGATATGAAAGCTATTTTGTGAGGCTTCATTTTCGCCAGAATGACAGGAGCAGAAGAACTTGAATGAAAGTGATTTTGCACTTAGCAAAGGTGGCTCTATATAGAAGAAGGTTACTAGCATTTTTGATAGCTGTGTGTCTTTGTTTTAGGACACGTGCACATACATCTCAACAGATGGCAGTTAATTAGGTGCTTGTGTATACCACAAAATTCTAAACCGTTCAGAATGAGATCACTATGAATCTATGAACTACGATCCCAAAGTTAGGAGTTTTTACTCAATTTTCAGACTTCTACTTTCTTAAATAAAGCTGAGATAACTGAAATTTCGCAATAGTAGGGCTATATTTTACTCTTTCATGGTGGGATCAATACGTTAACCAAAAAAATAAATAAATAAAATTAGTTAACATGAATACACAAGAATAAATAAAGGGAGGTTATACTTACGACTTATTTTCGTTTACAACCTCTTATAATCAATATCTTAACCATTGATTTTCATCAATCAACGGTTAAGATTTTCGCAAATAAAATTTATTAATTAATTATTAATTCGCAATAAATTATAACTATTGATTGTCAGAATTCAACGGTTAAGATATTGATTGTAAGAGACTGTAAACGAAAATAAGTTGTAAGTATAACTTTTTCATAAATAAATATTAAAAACTGAAATTAAAAGCTATCCAACTCCAAAAAAAGTTAAAAATAAAATAAAAAAGTTATCCCACTAAAATCACCATGTCGTCGAAGCCAAATCTACAATAAAAAGGATATTAAAACACCTCATGATCTTTAAAGAAAAAAATTATTAGCCGCCTTTCTTCTTTTATTGATTAATTTTTTTAAAATTATTCTTCATTCATATTAATTACACTTTTTAGATTTATTAATGTGTTCTACCAATTTTTTTCTTCCTAATATGTGTAAGTTAATTATTTATAAAACCTCATGTCACTTCAATTTTTAATATTTTATCTTAATCACATAAAAAATAATTTAGTACTGGTTTTGTCAAATAAAGAATTAATTTGTACGTTTGGATGAAACTATTAAGGACTAATTAAGTTACATATTTACTAGGTACCCAAAAAATAAGTTACATATTTACTTATTATTTATTTTTATTAGAGTTCCTAATAGTATATCTATCTATTATCAATTTAATTTCTTATAGATTATATGTTCATCAATTTAATCCCTAAGTTCAAATCTAAATGTTTCAGTTTTTCCATTCAAACAAAAGGAATAATGTGTAAATTATACTTGATGAAGGAACTAAAATATTGAAAAATTTAACTATAAAAGATCAAAGTAATACAATTAATGAGTAAAAACAAAGTAAGTAAGTAACAGTATTTTTTTTTTGCGGCTAAAATAAGATTTTAGTCAATTACCTGAATGTATTGGCCAGAGTCCAGACACAATGTCTAGTGAAGGTTTTCACTTCAATAATTGAAGTAGGATATATAAAAGTTTAAAGCAAAAACAATAATATTAAACTCTGATCGGATGATTTTTGTAATATAAAAAAGTATTGAGTCCCTCAGACTACTAGGAACAGAGAATGGAGACCGAGGAGGATTTCCGCCACGCTATCGAGTCCCTCAGAAAATGATCTTTAACCTCTTTAAATATTTTGTTTTCTTAAATTCTACCTCGGAAAAAATGACATGGTTAGTTAGTAGTAGTAGCAGTTGTAATTTTCTTTTCATGCTAATAATAATTTTTATTTAGCTATTGTATCAACATGACTAAATAATTTTAAGGACATTTTCTCACGTTCATGTAATATTTAAAGATATTAATTAACTTTCATAGATATTAACTTAAGGTTGAACCCAAATAATCATAAATTGCGATTGAGATTATGAAATAATAATTAATAATTGTTTTAAGTCTTCATTTTGTTTGAAAATTTTATTTAATATTTAATATAAAATTATTAAACAAATAAGCAAATATGAGGAAAATACTTGCGGTCTTAACTCGTAAGACTCTGATTAAGACTTTTCGGTATAAAATTTCAAAATATATATTTGTGAAAATAAGAATAAGAATATTAGAGAAATGATGTATACACATTAAATTTCCTTCATATCATATGCCTCACATAAAAGTCAAGAAGATATGAAAAAAATTATGAAAAGACAGATTTTTTTTTTATAATTTTAAATAATAAAAATTTAAGAAAAACACTATGTGACACAATCTTTGTAAAATAACTTTACTTCGGTCTGTAATGAAATAATATTCATATATTTAACTCATAGATATAAGTTGGTACATTACGTAAGGAACTTAATTTGAGATTCTGAATACTCATAGAAATTAATTTGAATGCATACGCGTAAAAAAGTTTATAATGTCCTTAAGTCGTCTTATAGCAACATGTTATTATATGGAACTGTCTTATGATAAGACGTTGTTATATTATTTAATAAATTTAATATTTTTAAATTCATTAAATGATATAATAACATAATATTAGATGATAAAAAAATTGTTTTATGCAAATTATATATTAAAATTGATTTTATTTTTCTTAATTATATGCTGTTGAGAGTTGGGAACAGAAGGCAACGCCGAGCATCTAAGCTCGTCAAGGTTTGTGCTTGTGCTTTGGGCTCAATCTTTAAGCTTAAGGGCTCAGTTTTGACCCAAAATATAGATCCGTTTATTATAGTTGGCCCAAGCTTGTACTGACGATCTTCAAAAGGGTTCGATCCAACATAACTTTTGGTTATATATATAACGTGGGACATGCCTAGAAAGTATCCATTTATTGCTAAAGATTAAAAGATGGGTTTTCGTTTTATCCTTTAACATAACACAACAAACTTTCTTACACTTACAGCATTTTGTGGGGCCCACACTTTTTAAAACAAAAAAATAAATAAAAAATTAAGGCACGCAAAATGAATCTCTATAACATTACACAATCACTTTTCCTACAACATAACTCTTATAAAACCCTTAAAAGATCTTGATTTACTTCAATGTATATATCGAGAAAGCAAGAAACGCAGATGCAGAGCATTGTGCTCAGGGTAAATGAAATCTGCATAATTCTCATTAAATCAGAAATGAAGCTTACAATGATATATATACCTATCGTTGCTACCGTTCTAGTTGAAACTGAATCCGTAATTAGGGGGAAGTAAAAACTAACTTGTCTAACCAACTTAACAGGATTAACTACTCAGTTATTCTATCATGATTCTGTCCACGTGTATGTATTATATCAGCTGCATTTGTGGAATCACGTTGCTGCACAATTAAGTTGGGCTTGGGCTGTTGTTGAGCTTTGGGATGAGTGTCATCCTTGTGCAATAGTATATATAAAAAAATGGTATTGATTATATAATTATAACTGAATGGGTAAGATTACAAATTGCTTAAAGCTCATATAACCATTTAGAAAAGTCATATGGAAAATAATGTGAAAAAAAATATGGCATAGTCATAGGAGAAGATCACAACTATACAAAGATGAATCGATTATTTTGTAACTACCTATTTCAATATTTTTTCTTTTTATTTTCTTTTATTACCATTGATCTACCTATTGATCTATCTTTGTATGATTATGTTTTTTTTAACATGAGAGGATCAAAATCTCATTTAATACTAACCTATAAGAATTAAAGATTTAAATTTATTTATTTTCATCTTCACAATAAACCACTTCTCTCACGTGGTAATTGATCCATATCCAATAAGATGAGACTTGAGAGTGATTTATTACGTGGAATGAGATGAACAAGATTTCACCATATAACTACACATTGATGATTAAGCATAAAAAAGTTACAAATCCCAATCTTTTATTTAAGATATATAATGGTTTAAATTCATTCTTCTCACTCTCATAATGAAGTACTTCTCTTACTTAGATATACTTCAAATCCAAGATACTCTTCCCCTTTTTCTTCTCTATTTCTTCCTTCATTATCATTTACTCTTCCTCCGCGCAGGAAATACACCCGGAAATGATGGAATCATCCTTAGAAGCCAAAATCTGTTCAATGGTTGTGTTACCGACACCCAAAGAGGTAGCAAGTATCTGTTTGTCTATAATTTGAAGCACTGATCCCTTTCCAGCTAAATATTTTGGATAATTTCTCCTTGATGCAGTGCGGAAGGCCAGAAAAACAAGTGTATCGTTGTTGAATGACATCTGAGCCATTTGATGAAACCTAGGCACCAGAAAAACATCTCCCTCCGTAACTTTAAACCTCATGCTTCGGCATTCTGTCTTGTTATCAAAGCTGTTTCCACAGACTTTTTGGACCATGCCTTCCCCTTGCAACACCACTACTATATCTGTTGCCCTTGAGTTCGAATGTGGCCCCAACATTGATCCCTTGGATTATGGTTCACAAAACAAAATTTAATATATATAACTTCATAAACATATACAATAAATAAATAAGTTATAGTGTCACTAACCGTAGTCAAATTCACCATCACAAATCCAATGTCGTTGGCCTTTAATGATTTTAGTTGCCTTTTGGTAACTGTTAAGCTCCAACCATTACAATTTTTTATGTCGGGGTCATGATCAAAGATGTTATATGTTTTGACTTTCTTTGAGTTGGACGGAATGTCTAAAATGTTTTCAACTAACAAAGCCTCCAATTTCCAGACAGGGTTTTGCTCCTCTGAAACAGCTTGCACTATAACTGGAGTGCTGGTCTTGTTTGTGATTTCTTCAACCAAGTCTTCCCGCACCTTCAAAAGTCAGAATTTAGAGTTTTGTAAGCAGTAACTATTCATATTCGTGTCAAATCTTATATTTTATATCCCCATATAATACAACAATACGATTGCTACAAAATAAAATACACGTAAAAATATAGCCATTGTGCTTTTGCACCAAAAACTTGTACAATATTGCACATTACGAGGCTAGAGTACTAATTAATACCTTAAGTGCTGCTTGCATGATTTTCTTATCAAAGCCTTTGACCAGTTCATTGATCCTTGAGTAATAACCGATTAATGGATCCTGCATTTGCGGTTAACATGAACAAGCTCAAACAAGTCTAGGAAACTTCAATTTATTCTTGTATGAGAACAATGAAAGAATACATGTTCACCACTTACGTAAGTGTTGTCGTCTGCATTGGCAAACATTGCATAAATCTCAAGTTTGTTTTTCTCTGCATCCAAGTTGCTCTGCATATAGATAACAGATCCTTCACTGAGACTGCAGAGATCTCCTCGACGTAAAGTGATCGTGCTAGTACCATGTTCATTTGCCCATGTCAGCTTTCCACTCCCTAAAACCCCAGTGGGTTGAATGTGTTGAAGTTAATTTGTTTGTCACGTAATATCATGGGAAATCTACTTTCTCATGTTGGTGCCAATAAATTATAACTATGTACTCCACTCGTGCCACACATTATAATTATATATTCTAGGAGTATATAGTTCTAACTTGTAATATTAAAAAAAAAAAATTGTCTCTCTGATAATTTGTTTTTTTCTTATTGAGTATAGTGGGTGGCCGGAGAAGATTTTTTTTTTCAAGAGAAAAAATGGACCCTAATATTATACAGTAAAATGAAAAAAAAAAAAAATTCACAGAAATGGCCAGGTTCTTCTATTTTGTCTTTTGGAAATATCCGAGTCATTCATGTTCCAAGGAAAATAACAATTGTTGTAAGTCTAGGACAATACATACGCAAAGGAATTTAGGAACATTACAGATAAAGATCAATTCTCTTCTATGTGGGTTTGGCTTAGGGATGTAGTGTTCAGAAATAAAAAATTAAAATCAAAATTATAGAGATGTTTTGGCTGAAAAGCTGTTTAGTATGTGCTAAGTGAAGACATTGATTCGGTTAATTTGATATGCCAGATACAAGTAAAAAATAAGAAGGGTAATAACTAGAGTTGACATTAACACACGCGCTTATACTTCAGAAATGGACTACGTGTTGAGGAATCGAGTCATTACAATGAGTATGGAGTTAATGGAATTTAGAAAAATAGTACCTCTATGAACATAAAAGACCATCTCTGCATGGAGAAGCACGGGAAGAAACAAAGAGTTTGGTTCCAAAGTGAGGAACTGAAGATGGTAGGATGGTGCTCCTTGTTTATCCTTGACATCAATGGCATAGATCTCTCCGTATTCAGTGACATTTAATGTCCTCCATTGACCGTTCCCTACCACAGGTCCCTTGTGAGGCGTGACATTATGCTCCTCATCACTTGATGCCTTCTCCCCATACAAATAAATGGTAAGGAAGAAGATCAAGACCCATGAAAATGGCGAAGCTAAGAAAGCTTTGCGAGGCTTCATTTTCACCAGAGTGACAGTGAAGAAAAACTTGGATGGAAAGTGATTTTGCACTTAGCAATGGTGACTCTATATAGAAGAAGGTGACTAGCATTTTGTGGAATAAATCTTTGGACACGTGCACGTAAATTTCAACAGATGGCAGTTAATTTGGTGCATGTCTGTACCACAAAATTCCAAACAGTACGTTAGGAATGAGATCACGTGATAAAACAAAAAACAAACAAGTTATCCTTCAGTCAAATGTCATACTCATAGCCCAAAAAAAAATAAAGAAGAAGGGGGCATTAGTTAGTATAAATATAGAAATAAATAAATATTGAAAACTAAAATTACAAGTTATCCTAAGAAAATAGGGAAAAGCACCATTTTAAAGCTTTTGGACAAAAGAATTGCCTGGTTAAAGCTAATTGGATAAGTTTTTCCAAACACTACTAGAAAAAATCTCTATAGCGACGGAATTGCTATGAAAATTCTGTCGCTAATTTCATCCTCTATACTACTTTCCGTCGCAAATTTCCTCGCAAAATCGTTTGCGAGGGAATTTGTGACGAAAAATAGTAGCGAGGATGAAATTAGCGACGGAATTTCCATAGCAATTCCGTCGTTATACAAGTTTTTTCTAGTAGTGAAAGTAATGCAGTCAAACATGTCGCCTATGCTGACGGGACTAGTCCTGTCACTGATACTGACGGGACTCGTGCCACGTCAGCGCCACGTAGGCAATCCAATTACCGTAAATCTTCGGAAGACCATAACTTGTGACTCGGGTATCCAAATCAGATGATTTTTTTTTTGATTTCACATAACTTTTCGAGATCTATGCAATGATACCTCATTTGACATATTTTATCTCCCATAAACATAGTTTGAATTTGTAACAGTTGTATCACAATCACAAGAGTGTTTATCCATAAGACTATGTTTGTGGGAGATAAAATATATCAAATGAGGTGTCATTGCGTAGATCTTGAAAAGTTATGGGAAATAAGAAAAAATCATCTGATTTGGATACCCGAGTCACAAGTTATGACCTTCCGAAGCTTTACGGTAATTGGACTGCCTACGTGGCGCTGGCGTGGCACGAGTCCCGTCAGTATCAGTGACGGGACTAGTCCCTTCATCATAGGTGACATGTTTGACTGCATTACTTTGAAAAAACTTATCCAATCAGCTTTAACGGGGCAATTCTTTTGTCCAAAAACTTTAAAATGGTACTTTAGCCTACGAAAATAACCATATCGTCAAAGCCAAGTCGTACATTCAAAAGGATATCAAAATGCCTCACGATCTTAAAAGGAAAAAAAATAAAATCGATTAGTCGCCTTTCTTCTTAATAAATAAATAATTTATTCCTGAGATTATTCTTCAGTCATATTTTCATTTTTTAATTTATTAATATTTGTGTTAAAATTTTAAATTTGAAAAGTTCATATCATGTTATAATTTTTAATATTTTATTTTAATCGCTTAAAAAGATTTAATATGAATTTTGTAAATAAAAGAATTAATTTGTACGTATAAACAAAATTACAAATTAAAGGATTAAGTTACATATTTACTCATTTCTTATTTATATTAGAGTTCTTAAAAGATTATTTATTATCAATTTAATTTCCTATGTATTATGTATTTTTCAATGTGATCCTGAAGTTCAAATCTAAACATTTATTCCCATTCAAATTAGCAGTGGAGACAAGAAGGGGCTTGGGTTGAGAATCAATCGTATCCCTTAAGCTTGTCAACTGATAAAAGTTGGGATGGAGAATAAATAGTCATTAATTTTATCGTATTGCATCTCCAAATTTTACTTTTTTTACAAAAGTTTTTGGTTCCGTACATTGATTCAAATAATAAACATTACTAAGGCTTTATTTTTTACAGAATTTATCGACTGAAAAAATTCCGTAAAAATTATTTATAAATTTTTTGACAAAAAATATATTCCACAAAAAATAGAGACAAAAATAAATTTCGTCAAAATTAAAGAAAAAAATAGAAACAAAATCCATTTTGGTATTTTCTAGTAGTTAAAAGAATGATTTAGAAATTATATTTAATGTATTTCCGAAAAAAAAGTATTTCCAAAAACAAATTATATTTCATTGAGGAATTAAGATATTATAAATTTTAACTATAAAAGATCAAATTTAAAAGAAAAAATATGAGTAAAAAAATTAATAACAGTACGTTTTAGTGGCTGAATTAAGATTTTAGTCAATTACTTGGGTGCATTGAGGGAAAAATAATAAAAAAGCCAGCCAAACACAATGGCTAAATCATTGTTCTCGATCCCAAGTATATAAAATTTATGTCTCCAGCCCAATTTTGCAAGGATGAATTGCTGTATTGGTAGTGAATTGCATGATAAGGTATATGGAAAGTTTCTTCTATCATGTTATAATTTTGATATTGTTATTTGTTTAAAAAATTATGTAATGGTGTTAAAGTTACACGTTCAAGTGCTTAAATCTAGTTATCATTATGGTGTAACTGCATGCCTTCTGAAATAATTAAGTTCTCGTGTACTTTCACTTAAATTTCATTGATTTCATAGTTTTTATGCATGCTTTGATTGCTATGTGATATTATTAAACCTTGTTAGGTATACAGAGCCATATGTGGTGGTAATATTTCTACTGAAAGCAGTTCAATTGAGGAAGATATTGTAGATGTTGATACATCAATACAGTTTAAGAATATACCAGATTCTTTTGTCAATTTATCCAAGTTTCAAATTATTATCACATTGAGTTGGTTGGAAGATTCATAAAAGAATCTGATATGTTCTTAAACTGTAATAATGTATCAACGTCTACAATATTTTCCTCAATTGAACTGCTTTCACTAGAAATATCACCACCACATATGGACCTGTATGCATAACAAGGTTCAATAAAATTAGAGAGCAATCAAAGCATGCATAAAAACCAGTGTTTTAAAACCCGGCTCGGACCGGCCGGGTCGACCCGGGACTCGGTGACCCGGTGGGTTCCCCGGTCCGAGCGGGTAGTTAGACCGGTTATGCAGTCAGCCCGGATTGGACCGATTGACCCGGCCGAAACCCGGCGACTCGGTTGACTCGGGTTAAACCGGTTTTTTTTTTTTTGGTAAATTTTTTTTTTGTTGATAAGAACTCTTGAATTAAATCATATTCATATTTTATTATGAATATGATTAAAAGTAAGGTGAAAATAATAAGGTATTTTAGATTAGTGTAGTTCGTTTATGTAATTTAGTTGCATCCTATAATGATCTCATGAAGTTAAGTGGTGATAAACACTGATGGTCTCATGATCTCATCTCAACGGTCTAGAGCTAGAAACTTAGAAGTATATAATATTTGCTATCATTGAAAACCAATTTATTTTTTGAAGCTCATAGATAATTTTCTTATGTGAATTTTTATTAATATAAGTAATATTTTTATATTTTTAATATATGAACAGTAAAACCGGTTCAACCCGGTTGAACCAGTGACCCAGTGACCCAGTACCTCGACCGGTTCGATGACCGGTCCGAGTTTTAAAACACTGATAAAAACTATGAAATCAATGAAATTTAAGTGAAAGTACACGAGGACTTAATTATATGAAGTAGGATCCTTTGACACCAGTGTCAAATTTTAAATTTGACACCTCATCTGAGAATCGTTAGATCAAAAAAGATCAACAACTCTGATTTGCAAGCATGTGACACCGTTGATCTTTTTTGATCTAACGGCTCTCAGATGAGGTGTCAAATTTAAAATTTGACACCGGTATCAAAGGATCGTGCTTCTAATTATATTAGAAGGCATGCACTTACACCGTAACGATAACTAGATTTACGAGCCACTTGAATAGTGTAACTTTAACACCATTACATGATTTCTTAAACAGATAACAATATCAAAATTATAACCTGATAGAAGAAGCTTTCCATATACCTTATCATGCAATTCACTACCAATACAACAATTCATCCAGTCAAAATTGGGTTGGAGCCAAAAATTTGATCTCATTCGGATCGAAAACAATGATTTTTGGTAAATTTCATCCATAATCCATCTTTTGACTTAAAAAAAAAAAGAGAGGACGTTTTTTTATTAAACATCTATCTAAAAAATATGCATGACAAAAAATAACAAAACCATAGCAATGATAAAGAGAAAAGGCAGAAAAAAAGCAATATTCTTAAACTGTAATATACCAAAACAGCAATTATTTAATTCTTATAAGAAATAAAATAAAATATTGAAATCTGTAATATACCAATGTTAAACATTCAGTCTCAATTTATCCAAATTTCAAATTATTATCACATTGAGTTGGTTGGAAGATTAACAAAAGAATTTATATCTTAAACTGTATTGATGTATCAACATCTACAATATCTTCCTCAATTGAACTGCTTCCAGTAGAAATATCACCACCTCATGTGGATCTGTATGCATTACAGAGTTTAATAATATTAGACAGCAATCAAAGCATGCATAAAAACTATGAAATTAATGAAATTTAAGTAAAGTTCAAAGCAAAAATAATAATTTAAACTCTGATCAAATAATTTTTGAATATAAAAAATACTAATAAAAATTGAGGAAGAGGATTAAAAATAATAATAAAAATAAAAATAAAAACAGAGCAAGAGATAATGGCGACAGAAGAGGATTTCCACCACGGTAAAAAACAAACCTTCTTGCTTAAAAAAAAAAAAAAAAACCTTCAAGCTCTCTTTTAATTTTTTAAATTTTGTTCATATATTTTATCTTTAATCACTAACAAATATATTTAAGCTCTTTTAAAACTTCATTTTATTTTAATAGTTTTGATATGAAGTTATTAAACAAATACTCAAATATAAGGAAAGTACATGCCGGTCTTAATCGTAAGAAAACTCTATCAAAGACTTTTACGTATAAATTTCAAAATAAATGATATTTGATGCTATTAATATTAATTAAAATTAAAATATATTTTTAATAAAACGTATAAAAATTAAATCAAATAAAATAATATTATTAAAATGAATTTTTTATAAGAACTTGCAAAAATAAGATTCAAAGACAGTAAAATTTATAAACAAGTAGAAAAAAATATTTAAATAATATTTAATTGTAGGATTTTTTGTTAATATATATTGAATATCGATATAGGTAGTAAATAATGTATTTTTAATTTTAAAATTGGTGTGTTTTGATTTATATTTGTTTTAAAAAACTAAAAATAGCTGTAAATATTTTTAAAAAAAATAATGAAAGAAAAGTATAAAATGTCAGAAAAACTAAATTTAAAATTTTAAAAATAAAATTAAAAATGTAAGTAAATCAGCATGTGAGAATCTTAGTAAAATAAGTTTTATATTATATTTTAGATACATTTATCGATAAATATTTATACATATACTCATAAGTAAAATGTCGTATAGTATTATAAATTTTTAATATCAGTTAATATAATTCAATTCTTCATATACTATTAAAATCATCAAATGATATGATTACATATTATTAGATGATAATATAAAACATTTAAACTAATTACATATTAATTTTTTTTTTCTCATATGCCTTTGAGTAGAGATGTTAACGAGCCGAGCCGAGCTGAGCTTTGGTCTTAACGGGCTGAGCCTGTGTTCAAATGTGTCAGACTGACCTCAGCCTGTTACCTGTTACGAATATAATATCAGCCTGTGGCCTGACTTATTTACAAAAAATAAAAGCCTGGTTTTGCCTGTTTTAAAAAAATCAGACAACAAAAATTTACCCAAACAAA